AAAAAAAAAAAAAAAAAAAGATATAATTTACATACAATTCACTTATTTACAACATATGATCCAATGGTTTTTAACATCTGAAGAGTTGTGTGACTATCACTTCAATTTTAGAACATCTTCATCGCCATAAAAAGAGAGCTCCCATTCCCCCCATCTCCCTAAGCCCTTTAATATTAAATAATCACTTTCTATCTCTATGGATTTCCCTACTCTGAGTGTTTCACATAAATGGAATCATAAGAACTGGTCATGGTGGCACAAACCTATAATCCCAGCACTCCAGGGTATGGAGGTAAGAGGATTGCAAGTTAGAGCCCCACCTGTGTAATTTAGCAAGACCCTTCCTCAAAATAAAAAAGCTAGGCGTGGTGGTATATGCCTGTAATCCTATGCCAAGCTTCATCCAGTTGTAGCATGTTTCAGTACTCTCTTCTTCTTCTTTTTTTTAAATTATTTTTCTTTCTTTTTTATTTTTTTAAATTTTATTTATTTATTTGTGTGTGTGTGTGTGTGTGGCCAGCTCAGCCCACCAGGGGGCGGGGCTGGCTGGCATGTGGTGCTGGGGGATTGAACCGCGGTCCCTGTGCTTTGCTAAGCTTGTTCTAAGTAGGTGCTTTAGACCACTGAGCCATCTCACCAGCCCCTATTTTTATTTTTATTTTTTTTAATGTATTTAGTACAGAGCCTACAGGGTCTCACTACACAGATCAGACTCATTGTGATCCTTCCTGTTTTTCAGCCTCCCAAACACTGGGATTATAGGTGTGCGCCACCACACCCAATCTCAGTCGTCTTCTCAGCATGCGCCGAGGAGGGGCCAGCAGAGGGGATGCAACCCCTCCCTTCTTTTTTATGGCTGAATAATATTGTATGGCTGTGATACATTTTGCTCATCTATTCATTGATGGACATTTGGATTATTTCTATTTGGTTACTGTAAGTGTAGTGGTGAACAATTACATGCAAGGTTTTGGTTCCAGGGCTGGCACAGCATGCTGTACCGACCGAGGACTGAACTTGGGGATCAAACTTGGGACCTTGCACTTGCCTGGCCCCATGTGCAAGGTTTCGAATATTTTTTATTTATTAATTTAGTGGTGCTGGGGGTGGAGGCCAGGACTTCTCACAATCTAGGCAAGCACTCTTTGGCTGAACTGTATCTCGTTTTAGTATATTTTTTACTTTGGTGGGATTATATACATAGGAGAGCAATGGCAACTGGGCCATAAGGACGGTACATCTTTGAAAACAAGAATTATGAGTTTTAAAAATGCACCCAGAGGCAGGCGTGGTTGTGCATGCCTGTAGTCCCAGCACTCTGGAGACTGAGGAGTTGGAGGCCAACTGACGCTACAAAGTGAGTTCCAGGCCACCCTAAACTACAGAATGAGACCCTGTCTCTAAACAAAAACAACACACACGAAGTTGCTTTTAAACAAGAGAAAAGAATTTCAGAAAAATTGTAATTATCTGGGGGTGGACAGTGTCACAATGTATACAAAAGTAATTCCAGCTTCTACCTCCAGTAGACATACCATGTTACAGATCTTGTATCATGGTAAATTGGAAAGTATAGATGTTCCTACTATACTTATGGGAAGAGAATTAAGGCAGAGCTATTAGCAATTGCAAGGATCCCCGGTACCCCCGGGGGCGGCCCTGAAGTCGGGTATGGTGGCACAGGCTTGTAATCCCAGCACTGGGGACGCTGAGACAGGAGGATCACTACGTGTTATGAGCTGCGTAGCCAGACCCTGGATCCTATAAATAAATAGAACAGAAACCCACTTGCAGGAAAAGTAGTTTTGCTCCTTAGTAAGGCAAAGGCCACGGAAATACTCCAAAAGTTTGCTTGTTTCCAATTTCTTGGTCATCTCTGATTTCGAGAATGTCAACGCGACTTAACATATCTTTCTAGTGGAGTTTTTCTATGGGAGTTTTAAACATTTTTCTTTCTTCTTTTTTTTTTTTTCTTTTTTTTTGAACGTTCAGAGCACGGGTAGGAAGAACAAACACTAATTTTATTTAGGATTCTAGAGTGTGTAAAGGTCTCTATGGAAGGCACACGGACCAACACTAACGCTTAAACAAGATGGTGGCTGGCGTAGTACCGCTGTCTTTCCGGCCGAACCGAGGTGTAGAATTTAAGTCCAGAGGGGTGTAACCCGACCACACAGGCTCGCTAGAAGACTGGAGCGGAAAGTGAGCTCTCGCGCATGTGTGAAACTGAGAGGAAAGTTACACAGGAAAGGGACGCACCCCACAGTGCAAATTTTCTGAAACTTGCGGGTCGTTTAAGTCCAGTTAAAGCCGAGGTGGTGCATTTCCTAGCACGCATGCGTTCTGGACGCAACTAGCGATACAGTGGCGTGGTCTTCTCAACGCCCAGCGTATGGACGACGACTGAGGTGGAAGGGGCGTTTAGGATTCCCAACACGCATGCGTTCCGAGACCGAGGCGTTTCCTTCAGAGGGTGTGGAGCGCAGGATTCTCTATTGCGCAGGCGCAAAGTTCGTCCGGTCGGACGAGTGGTCTATCAAGGGGAGGGTAGAAGAGGTGGAAGGGATTAAGAACCGTGCGCGCCTGCGCATTGTTGACTTGTTGGAGGCGCTCAGAATTTGTGAGGGGCGGGGTCACGTCTGCGCATCATTGGATGGGTAGGTGGGAGAGAGGGTGGAGCTCGGGGAGGGACTGTGCGCTTGCGCAGTGCGGGGGTGGAGGGCGGAGGAGCTGGGAAGCACGCTTGCGCGGCTGTCATAGGGTTGCTTGGTTGGTCAGTGGGGAGTCGGCGCCTGCGTACTAAGACCCGTGTGCAGCAGCGGCGGCGGCGGTAGAGGCGGCGGCGGCGGCGGCAGCGGGCTCTGAGGCAGCGGTTGGGCTCGCGGCGAGCGGACGGAGTCGAGTCAGTGCGTTCGCGCGAGGTGAGAGCGCACAGGCGCGCCTGCGCGGAACCTCGGCTTTGGCCGGGAAGGAGATGGAACTGCGCGGGGGTCGGGGAGGGGGCAGAGGGGAGCGGCGGCCACTGCCGTACGGGTTTGGCTAGGGAGCAGCGCAAGTTGCGGAGAGTCGCGGGCGCATAGCCCGGTTGGCGCGCGGGGTGACGGTTGGGGCCGGCTGGGTGACGTTGGAGCGACGCAGGGCGGGGGACGGCGAGCCGCGAGGCCGCCACGCGGGAGAGGCCGCCAGGCGAACACGCCGGAACGAGGGCCCGGGGCTAGATCTGCTCTGCCGTGGCAGAGGTTTCTGGGCTGTTGAGGACCGTGTGCCGCGAGGCCACGTGAGGTGGGGGAGGGGGCTGTTCGGTGAGGGCAAGTTGGGGGTGTTGCCGCCGGCGGGGGGAGGGGAGGCGGCGTGGCTGTGGCCTCGCGCAGTCTTTGGGGAGGGGATGGCCTCGGCACCGGAAGTGCCCCCCACGGTAGGCTGCCTTTAGAGTTCGAGACCGCATGGCCGAACGTGGACCGGGTCCGCATGGCAGCGTGGGGACCCCTCCCCCCAGGTCGCGGCCACCGGAAACCCCGGGCGGCCACATGGTGGGCGGGAGCCGGCTATCCCCAACCCGGGGAGAACCGTTCCTCACGGGTATCTGAGGCAGCCTGGAATTTAGGGGAGCGGGAAGAAGTCTGAAGACTTGCTTCCGAACACCCGGGAGAGCCTACTATAGACACATATGTTTCGGTTTCCCAACGCTACGGGCCCTGGAGTTTGCTCTTCAGTTCTCACATGAAGTGAGGCCGCCGGGCAGGTGTAAGTGGCACTCTTCTGAGCTGGGGGCCTAGAGAAATGGAGAGACAGAGCGTGATTGGGCACGAACCCAACTCTTCTCGTCTCGGCCCTTGCCGACAGCTCCTTAATGTCTGAGGCCGATAAGTTCTCCACGGTGATATGTGGTCTTCACCTTGTCACTGTCTTCCCTGTTGTGTCTGGCTTGGGAGTAACTCGGTTTTAGAGTCTCTTGACTACCAACCTAGTGTGATTTCTACTACTCACTCCTACCAACCTTTTGCTTTCATTTTATTGTCATTCACCACCCCCCACTCCACTTTCTACTGACTGTACTGGCTGGGCCTGAAAAGCCGACAGAGCCGATGCATTCTGGGAAAAATGGGAGGGCCCTCGAGTAGACGCTAGGTTCCTTGGTTCCCTTTGGGAACTGAGATCGAGGTGTTACTAATAGGGGGCTCGTTTAGAAAACTTTTTCAACCTTGACTGCATCTGCAAGTGCATGTTGGAGAGGTGGGAATCCCCCAAAGAGGCCTTGTGGTTTCCTGTACCAGTGACTGGTTTTCTGTGTGGATAGGGGTGGAAGGGTGTAACAGAATCGGGTGGGGCTTTGCCCTCCTGTCTCCACCCTCACCCCATTAGCCCCGCCTTTTTGCTGGCTCATAGCTGCTCACCTAATTATAGCCCTAGCTATGTGGAGAAGAGGGGTGGTTGGTTTCAGTGGCAAGTAACACCTGAGTCCTCCCCTTCCCAGGAAGTAGGCTGGTCCTCATCTCTGAGATTTGGCATCCCAACTCCCTAGATAGAGCCTTTTCTTCCCCAAGCCATGATTTTAGCTTTTCTTTTTTTTTTTTTTGGAGGGGGGGATGCAAGTATTCTCCCCTCACACCCATTCTTCAGTGTATTTAACCTCAGCTGGTATTTATTCTAGGAACTTTCACTTTATTTTGGGTGGGTAATGGAGTAAAGGGTTGGGGGAAAAGGAACAATGTTTCCAGAAAGGAATGGGATGGATTAGAGGTTGGATAACCTTCATCCTTACTGACCCCAGTTCTCTTCTTGGCTTTAGTTGGAATCCAAGCCTCTTAAAATGGCAGATGATTTGGACTTCGAGACAGGAGATGCAGGGGCCTCAGCTACCTTCCCAATGCAGTGCTCAGCATTACGTAAGAATGGCTTTGTGGTGCTCAAAGGCCGGCCATGTAAGATCGTCGAGATGTCTACTTCGAAGACTGGCAAGCATGGCCATGCCAAGGTTAGAATCTCTCCTCCACGACTTGTTTTCCCCATACCTCCTGTTCTCTGAAAGACTCCTGGCAGGAAGCTGTCATGAGTTCTGGGCCTCTACCTTCCTTTAGTTAGTTCTTTTCTTGCTTTCAGTCCTTTTGTTAAGCAGTCAGCCTCAAACTATACCTGTGTCTAGTCTCCAGCCTCTTCCATGGATATTTTCTGTGACCTCATTCTGTGATAGGTCTCTCCCTTTTCATCTTTGTGCCAGTCTCTTTGTGGTCTGTTGTATTCTGGCTATTCAGCTGTTCATTCATTTCTTATTTCTTGCCTTTTTCAAGTCACTTTGCTGTTTTCTTCCCTTTTTTTCTTTGAAACTGATGCCATCCCACACTCTAGTTCCTGCTTTTGCCTATTCTGGAGTTCTTTACATCAGTTAGTCATGCCTCCTTGGTTTCTTGGGTCTCAACCTTACCGCTTCCTAGGTCATCTCAGACTTTTTCCTTCAAAGTTCAACCTGGCTCGTTCTTGAATTTCTTGTGGTTTTCTCAGTTAAGTTTTTCCATCTTTAGCTGACTTGACATTGATCGTGGTTATACCCTAGCGCCTTGGTCTTTTCTGGTTTCCTTATTTCCTAACTGTAAAGTTTGAGGTGTTTGAAGTACTTTTTAAGGTTCTCTTCCTTCCACATTCCTTTTCTGTTTTCCCCTTTTCCTTTATTTTCTATGCTCTTATCCCCTTCTGAGTGTCTAGAAAACATGGAAACTTTTGCCTAAATTCCTACTTCCATCTCGTTTATTAGTGTTTGATATTTCAAGGTTAATAGGCTTGTCTAAGCCTATCTCACCATTTCCATTGTACTATCAACCTTTATTTCAGTGGTGGTCTTTTAGCCTCAGGGCTTTTTGAGGCTTTCATATTTCTTTTCTGAAGTTACGATTCATTTCTAGTTCTGATTGCCTTCATCAGCTTGGGACAATACAAGTGTTAATCACTTTGCTCTAGAATTTGGTTGGGATTTTCTTTGTGGTTCATGCACACAGGTCCATCTGGTTGGTATTGACATCTTTACTGGGAAGAAGTATGAAGATATCTGCCCATCAACTCATAATATGGATGTACCAAACATCAAAAGGAATGACTTCCAGGTATGTAAATGATTAGGATGAGGGTGGTTTATTATGGAGGGGGAAAAAAAAAAAAGATTCACCAGAAGTGTCAGAAGAGGGAAATGGCAAGAAGAAAGGTTATTTGATAGAAGTTTGTTGGTCTTTCAAGTTTGTCCATTACTCCCTTTACCCTCAGCCTGCATGGGCCTACTTTCAGCTTCTTTCCCTATCTGCCCCCAGCTGATTGGCATCCAGGATGGGTACCTGTCACTGCTTCAGGACAGTGGGGAAGTGCGAGAGGACCTTCGTCTGCCTGAGGGAGACCTCGGCAAAGAGATTGAGCAGAAGTATGATTGTGGAGAAGAGATCCTGGTATGGTGCCCCTTTCCCTTTGTGTATTCAGCTTTTTTCTTCCCGAGTTCACGCATCTTGTGACTATCTCTCTTGTTCTTCCAGATCACGGTGCTGTCTGCCATGACAGAGGAGGCAGCTGTTGCAATCAAGGCCATGGCAAAATAACTGACTCCCAGGTGAATGACAAAGCCTTTACCCTCCTTTTTTTTTTATCCTCCTTTTTATGATTTTTTGTTTGTTTTTCCTTCCGTATTGGGGATTGAATTCAGAACCTTGCGCTTGCCAGGCAAGCACTTACTCTACTGAGCTATCTCCTTAGCCCTCTTTTTCATAGTTCCCATCAAAGAGTTATTTTAGTGTGGTCCTGTCCAATGCCCCATTTTTTAAAGTATTCTCCTGTCTTACATGTTCTCTTTCTCTTACCTAGGGTGGTGGTGGCGGTGGTGGCAGCGGCGGCAGTGGCAGCAGTGATCCTCAAGCCTGCAGAGGCCCCTCCCCCAGCCTGGCCTCACTCTAGCTGGGCCCTTGGCTGGACTACTCCCACGCAATTTATTTGACGTTTTATTTTGGTTTCCCCTACCCCTTCAATCTATTGGGGAGCCCCTGCCCTTCACCTAGCTCCCGTGGCCAGGAGTGAGGGAGCCATGGCCTTGGTGAACTGCCCTCCTCTTCTCCCCTCACACTACAACTCTAGTGGGGGAGAGGGGCTGGGTGATGCTTGTGGTTTAGGTTTGTTTTTTTTTCAAAAAAAATTTGGAATCAGAATACTGTGGATTCTTGTAAATAGTCCTTGTGCCCCTTCTCCCTACTTGTCAATGGTCTGGTCCCATTCCCCATAGCTCTTTACCCCAATACCACCCCCACAGACTGGGGACCAGTTCTCTCCCTTGCCTATATCTCTCCCTAAACCCCTTTAGATGGGGAGGGAAGAGAAGAGGGGAAGGGGGATGTGCCCTCTCCTCAGGCATCTGGGAGGGCCTTGCCCCCATGGGCTTCACCCTTTCCTGTGGGCTCTCTCCCCAACACATTTGTTAAAATCAAACCTGAATAAAACTACAAGTTTAATATGAAGCCCTCAACTCGACCACTTACTTGAATTAAATGGGTACTTGTTGACTGGAAGATGTATTCAGGACCCAAAAAGAGACTAAATGCCACCAGTTTATTATGGTCCACTGCCTCACTTTCACTTGCTGTGGGTCTGCCAGCCATTTCCCACCCCCAAGCAGCTTTGTCATATTCCAGGCCCCTGGGTGGGAAGTGACACAAATAGCGGCAGGCAGGGGTGGCAGGTAGGTTTTATTGGTCTGGGACACACAAGGGAGACCCTCAGCCATGGGGGATGGAGTTGAAGATAATATATGATGGTCACTTGTGGTAGAAGCGTGGGTTCTGGCTGTGTTGGATGAAGGGGAGCCGAGGGCCAGGTTGGCTGGTAGTGGCAAAGCCTGACTGGGTGGTGATGAAAGGAGGGCTTGTCAGTGAGTGTACTCTTCTACCTAATACCCTTACAGATAAGCACCCCTAGGGAGGAGACCACCACAGAGTACAAGTCACCTATGTCTCCAGTTTCCATGGCAGTACAGGAGTCTCGGTTACCATTCTTACCTTTCCTGCTGGTTGCATCTGCACAGGGAGCTGAGGGGAGGTGAGGAGACCAGGTGCTGGGTGTAGAGCTTGGGGATGCATGGGGCGCAGAGAAGACTGCAGAGGCAAAGTTGACATGATTGGCATACTGGGGGCTCCCCTTTACCTTCCCCTTCCCTTAATAATCTGGCCATTACTCACTGAGTCAGAGAAGCCAGTCTGCTGATTAGCATGTTCCATCTGCTTTTGCAAGGACAGGGCACCACTAGGTTGGAGGAACCCTATGTAGGAAAAAAGTATAAAAATGAGTAGAGTATGTAGACCCATGGAGCCCAGGCTGCTGTCCAGGGTGTTAATTACCTGTTTGGGTGGGCTGAAAGTGGCCATGCACAGCATAGGGCTGTGGCTGTGGCTGAGATAAGTACTGCACTGCAGGAAATGCTGAAGGTGCTGAAAAAGGCAGGAGGGCCACCCATCAGGACTTCCAGGTTCTCTCTGGACTTTGAGAGAAACCATTTTTTTGTATCACTCACCTCTAAGCTGCTGACTAGGACTATAAGCTGGCTGTGTGGGCCCATAATGAGGTGGGGGCTGAGCAGTCCCATAGGCACCACCTGGGCTTCCTTGGAACTGCCCATGCTCAGGGGTCCCTGCGAAAGCAGCTGCTGAGCCCACATAGTGCCGGGTCTAGGAGGAAGAATGAGAACTCACTGCTTGTAAAGTCGTTGAAAGCAGAAACTCAGGGCTGGGGTGATAGCTCAGTACCAACATTTGCCTAGCATGTGAGACCCAAGGTTCAAACCCAGTACAGGGGGAAGGGGGACCCTGAGAAATTAGTGTGTCTCCATTCCTCGCCCACCCCTCCCAGTGTTTTGTATGGCTATGGACAGGATGTCTGGAGGCAACTCTAAGGGTCCAAACCTATTTCTCACCGTAAGCACCTGGGGTCCAAACATCTGTTTGGCTCTGTCAGCTGCCATGAGGGTGCCTGGGCGACTGTGTCCTCCAGGACTCCCTAGAAAGGAAAAGGGGCTTTGGAATGCTGAAATGGGAGGCCATAATCCAAGAGGGCCCTTTCTGTCAGGTGGTTATAGTCCTCACCCTGCATGCTGAGGAGGTGAGTTCCTGTGTGAACAGTCAGGCTCTGCTGGTAGGCGGCTGATGTCAGAGTGGTCAGGTCACTGGAGTAAATGAAAGACAGGCATGCCCTCTTTTGTCATTAAACACCAGTTTTGCTACAGTTCCCAATCCCCACTTTCACTTTTAACTCTTGATCCCACCTTTGCTCCTTTCGCCTCCGTTTTTCTTCCTCATGTAAAACTTTCTTTAACTGCAGGAAAAGCTGGTGCTTCTCTTCCTGTAAAGCCAAAAGTTTCTCCTGCAGTTTCAGAATCTAGGAGGGGATAAGGAGAAAGGTGTAAGCAGGCAAGTCAAGGGCAAAAGCCAGGGCTGGGAGTGATCAGACTGATTACTTGTTCTTTGGTTTCCTCTAATGACATTCTCTCTTCCATCTCTTTTTTTTTCCTTCTCTCTTGCTCCTCTTTCATCTTCTGTTCCATCATCTTGTCCACTTCTTCCTCCTCTGGAGAATCAGGTAGAATGGAGAAGTAGCAGGGTGGTGAAAATCGAATGTTAAAAGAGACTGAAGACAGAAAGGCCAGTTACCCTACCACTCCCGACTGCACTGGGCAGTGGCTTTTTTTTCCAGCACAGAAAGTTTTATTAGGTGCTCTCCAAGGTCCTTGCCATCTCTGGGTGTTTGAATTTAAAACTAGGCCACTTCACTCCTAACCGGTAAGGCTGTTCCATCTTGCCTTGCCCGGGGGCACACTGCACAGCCGGTGAACAGACGCCAGCTCTGGGACAGCGGGCCACCGTGGGCCGTGGGTCCATCCGCCCCAAGTCTACCCCATTCTGTGCCAGCTCACCCTGCCGCTTGCGCTCCCGCTCCATCATGATGTGCCGGTGCAGAGCTCTGGCCATGGCGTTGGAAAGCTTCGGGCGCTCCAGGAGCGCGGGCATCGTGCTGCCGGGGTCGCGAGGGCCGCAGGCGCCCCTCTCTGTCACTGGCTGCCAGACCTCGGACTGGGCCTGTCGGCGGGAAGGCGCTTAAGCAGAGACCTACTCCGGGCCCTGTCCGAGCCCGTCTACGCGGCGCGGTCACGTGCCCCGGGCGTCCACCGCCCGGCGGGGCCACAGCCACACCCTAGGACGCAAGCAAACGGCACGGGGTGGCGGGTCACTGGCTGGGCGCCCCCGCCCCTTTCTCACAGACCGGGCGCAGGCCCCCCCACTCCACCCCACCTGTTTTCTCGGCGCTCCCCACTGCCTCCGGCGCGCCTGAGCTGCAGCGTCACATCCGGCGGCCTGCCCGAATCCTTCCGGAGTCACCGGCCTTGTGGGTTGGGCGAAAGTGAAAAGCGGAAGCGCGCGAGACGGAGGCCGGCGAGGCCAAGCCCACAGCGGGCGGGACCCGAGGTCGGCGGAGCTGCGCCCCTTACAGCCCTCGATACGTTTTAGCTGTGAGAAGTGCGCGAAACGACGCCGAGGCGTGTGCTCTGAGAGTGTTTATTGGCTCCTTAAAAACCCGAGTCAGTAACAACTGTACAGGGGGTCCGAAGCTTCCTTGCGCCCCCCTCTTTTCCCCACTCCCGCCTGATGGCCCCGGAAAACAGCAGCTTCTTGAGGCACAGGGAGAGGCTCCTCTGGGATTCACAGTAACCAGAAACAAAAACGGAAATAAATTAAGTGATGGAGGGGGCAAAATGGGGATTTATGTGCCCCAAATCAGTGCATGAAAGCTGGCCTCCCCACAAACTCCCTCCCATCAGAGGGGTATGCTGGGCCTCTGGACATGGAAATGTGCTCCACTTCCATCTGAATCTGAGACTGCCGACGTGCTCCTGCGTCTGCCAGGCCAGCACCTGTGCATGCCATGAGTCACTGGAATGAGGTGGTGGCAGTCTTCACTCAGGGTCCTGGGCCGAAGCCCAACTGTGCTTGCAGCAGTGGTGTCTCACCCCTCATTCCACCCGTACCAGCAGGGCATAGAGGAGTGTGGCTCCCTTCTCCTTAGTGACCCACTCAAGTTCCGCTGGGCTGAAGTGAGGATCAGGAGGTTCTCTGAGAGCAGCAGAAGGGGGTCCGTGAGTGTAGGAGCCAGGGCGCACACAAACCTGGAACGCGACCTGAGCTTGGTGCGTCCGCTGGGATCTGGGGTCCCGGAATCTGTCAGACAGGAAGCAGAAACAGAAAGTGAGGCCTCTGTACCCCTTGGCTGCTCCCCATTGTGAACTCTGTCCCCAAAAGGCACTTAGCTCCAGTTGTTCAATATTTGCAAGACTTTTTCAAGTCTGTTCAGCTACTCCTTTCTATACCCACTTCACACCTCTGCTGAGACTTCACTTTTGGGGGTAAAAGGCAATCCTGGGGATTGAACCCGGGATTTTCGCCCCTCCCCAATGAACTACATTCCTTGCACTTTTTTATTTGTGTGTGTGTGTGTGTGTGTGTGTGTGTGTG